ATGGACCCATCAAGATGTTTTTTAAGGCGATAAACCCACTTGCAGCCAACAAGATTTTTACCACTTGGAAAGGGAACAAGATCCCAGGTTTGTTGCAAATGTAAAGTAGTGATCTCATCTTGCATAGCTGCTTGCCATTCTGGGATTAGTAGCAGCTTTATTAGTGGTAGGCTTAACAATAGAAATCTCAGATGAAGGAACAGTTGCGGAGTATGCTTTCCTTTTAACAATCCCACTTTTAGACCGAGTTTGCATGGGATGAAGATTGACTGAAGGAACTGGAAGCACAACAGTAAGATTTTCAGATTGAAAATCAGGATCATTAGGGTTAGGGATTGTGTAGCTGTGATAGAGGCTGGAGAGAATAAGGTGGAAGCTTGGGATAAGGTATTGGGTATAGGTATAGTAGTGAACAACTCTGAAGCTGAAGAGGGTACATTCAAAGACTCTGAAGCACTAGATGGTTCAATGAATGACTCTGAAGCTCGAGGTGGTAAGGATGTAGATGATGCAGGTGATGATGATGAATGACTGGTGTGTGATAGTTATGGTGGACTAGAAATCACTGTGTTGTTTTCTGTGAGAAGTGGAATAAGTGAGGAAGAAGTACAGTTTGAAACACACTACAAAGGATGAGTTTTAGATGCCAAAGTTGTGTAAGGAAAAGTATATTCATCAAACAGGACATGCCTAGACACATACAATTTTCCTGTACTTGGTTGAAAACAAATGTAGCCCTTATATTGCCCTGCATAACCCAGAAACACACATTGGGCAGTTTTGGGTTGAAGTTTAGTAGTATTTTATAAGGTCGTAGTAAAGGAAAACAATTACATCCAAAACTTTTCAAATGGGTTAAGATTGGAGAAGTACCAAATAGACAAAAATAGGGAGATTTCATAGACAAAGTATGACATGACATTCTGTTTATCAAATAAACTACAGTAGCACAGGCATGGAACCAAAACTGGGAAGGTAATTTGGAGGTATGCATAAGAGTGAGGGCAGTTTCAACAATATGCCTATGCTTTCTCTCAGCAAGGCCATTTTGTTCAGGTGTATATGGGCAGGATTTTTTATGTATTATGCCTTTGTCAAGTAAAAACTGTTTAAACTTGTTACTGGAAAATTCACCACCACCATCACTTTGAAAGATTTTGAGTGCATTGGAAAACTGAGTAGACAGAAAAGCATGAAACTGCACAAACGTTTGAAACACCTCACTTTTATTCATTAATGGAAATATCCAGGTATACCTGGTACATTCATCAACAAAAGTAACATAAAATCGGAAGTCTTCTATTGACAATGTAGGAGATGGCCCCCAAACATCACTATGGATGACTTCTAAAGGTTGTACAGTTTTATTTGCAGGAAAAGGGAAAGGCAATTTAGTTATTTTGCCCTCTAAACAAGAGATACACACATGCCTAGATTGGTCTAATGCAAAAAGAACCTGAGATTGGTCCAACATTTTTGCAGCAACAAGATTGGAAGGGTGACGTAATCTGTTATCCCAAAGAGATGTGTTGACTTGACGACCAATGAGACAGTGTTGTTGTTTAGGGAAGTGAGATGCTTGATATGCTTGCTTGAGTATGAATGGAGGTATATGAAAAGGAATCGGGTACAATCTAGCTCTCCACAGCCCTTGAAGAAGGATTCTCCCTGTGATCTTGTCCTGTATCCAGAAACAAAACTCAACACATATAAACCGGCAATGATTAACTTTACAGAGCTGATATACGGACAATAGATGTTGTGACAGTTTTGGAACATGTAAAATTTCTTTCAACTAAAAAGCATATTTAGGAGCTCTTAAAGTTGAAGAACCAGTATGAGATATTTCCAAACCTGAGCCACTAGCTGTGGTGATAGTATCAGTGCCTATGAAAAGGACGATCTTGAGCTTAAAGGTTATCAATGTTGTTTAGAGAGGGAAAGATTGTAGACACAGAATGTAGAAAGAGAGAGATCAAAGAGAATTAGAGAGAATTGCACTGTTTGTTATATTGCTTTTACTTCCTTACGAATGAATACAAAAGGTTCCTATTTATACACTTTTCACTACTTGTACAGCAAGTAACAAATCCTTAACAACCTAACAACCATATCACTTAATCTCTTGACAGATGGCATCTTCTTGGCCATTGGATTGATCTTCCTTGTCTATATCTTTACAGTTTTAACTTCTGCATATTTTACTAGACTAAAATTTTTAATTACTGCCAGAAAGATTAAGCTAAAACGATTTAATCAAATCCCAAAACTATCAAACATTTGCTAACTTGCAAAATACAAAAAGGGGGACTTAAATTAAACAAGTCATATGGATTGGATTGGGAAAGCAAACAAAGTCGGCAACTTTTTATAACACCATGTGCAGGAGTAGGATTTTAAACCCAAATTAAATAAACAAATTAAGAACAAAAAATAAAGCAACCCTAATGAGATCCAAAAAGCTCGCTTAATACACACACGCTTTTCGCTGAATCTCCACCACTTAAAAAAGAGGTATTTGTCGGTTTGTCTATGAAGTCGTAGATAGGTGTCAATTTCCTCTTAAATTTTAATTTTAGCTGATTTCTCCCTTGAACTTTTATAATTAGCCAAAATTAAACAAATCAATAAATATTCCCTTAAAGTGTCAGGAACCAAACAGGGAGAATAGGCTAAAATTAAATTAAGTTCAGGAAGAAAATTGACAGCTCTACAAGTTCAGGAGACAAATCGACAGATATGTCCTTAAAAAATGTCAAGAAAATATCAAAAGTTATCAAGAAAATGCAGGAAATGTAACATTATAATGTAAGTCCAGATAATTAAATATTTGCAAGACGTGAGGTATATGGTTCAACTATTTTCCTTCCCTTTCTCAGGAACCAAACAGAATCCACTGAGAAAACCCATAATATTTCTCAAGAGAGTTGTAAAGTCCTCATTTTTCTTACACACCGAAGCAGAACAGTAAAATATAGAATTAAGGGGCCTAAAACTGAAAATGCAGGTAAAACTTTCTGACTTAATTTCTCAACACACACGCACTTTGACAAACCAAAATAAAAATACATGAAAAAATACAAGCAGAGAAGCAAAAGTAGAATTTAACAAAGCTAGAAGCTTTTTAATACCAACATATAATATTAAAGAGTGTGGAAACTTTCAGAGTTTGTACCTTGATTACGTACCTCCTTTGGAGCTAAATACAGCTGCATTCAGATTTTGGCCATTTTCTTTCCAAAGTTCTGAGAGAGGAAGAGGATGACAATGCAGCAAGGTTTGAGAGATTTAGAAAGAGAGATGAAAATAACGTGGGATTTGCTTAGCTAGGAGTGGTGAGTGAGAGAAAAAAGATGTGGGTGTTGGTACTTGTCTTTCTCTTCCAGTTCGCAACTCCTTTTGTCCGTATTACTTTCTTCGTCTTCTCAGTTTGGTGTTTCTCATTAGTTTCTAAGGTCATTTCCAATCGAAAGAGTCAAATATAGTCTCGTTTAAAATTATAGTCATACAAAAATTATATTTACAGGGACAGTGTCATATAATACTCATTAACATCTCCAGCTGAACGGGCTTAATCTAATCTCCTCAATAATTTATTAGTTTTAAGTTTATACTTTAAATTCATTGGTTAATTTAATTAAACTACTGTTAGATGTTTCAAATCTAGCCGTTGAATTTGAATTAATTATTGCAACTGAGGAGTTGAGCCCCAATGGGCTCCATAAAATTATAGTCCAACCATCGGTTGGAGATGAACTTTTACGCAAATCAGGCCTTTTTTTTTTTGACACTTTTAGACCTTTAGCCCTCTCTATTGGAGATGGCTTACAAGGAAATGCTTCTAGCTAGGTAGCCAAAACGGTTACTTTTTCAAGTTTCATTTCACATGTGTCCACTTATCTTACTCAAGTTATTATTAATGATGTAATGAATAAATTATAAGGATAAAATCATGTAAGGAGAGAATATTGGTAGACAAAATAAGAGAACTAATCGATGAAATGGGTGCCAAAGGAGAATGGCACATGGGAGATTCAAATAGGTAATAATTAAAGTCAATCAACCCGAAAAGGCATGAACATTTCAAAGTGATTTGATTCCACGGTCATCATATCCCATGATTAAGGTGGCTGTGGAAGGAAGAGTTTTCAAAGAGGCAAGACTTACAGACGAAACAGATGGTCGATCTAGAACTAATGTTTATACTATTGTTGACCCTAAAAATTACAATACCTACCTAGTGCGTAGACTGAACAACTATGAGCTAACTATGTCCTTCTTGTGAATATGAGCGTGCTAACTCGTTACTGAACTCGGTCAGTGAGTAGAATAGATGGGGTGGTGTTGAGTGAATACGGCGGAGGAAGGAACAAGTCTCAGCCTTAGGTTCTAAAACCTAAAGATAAGGTTACTGTATCACTACAAAGTTGAATAACTGGTTCAACTTTCAATGTGCCGAACACGAGGTAACCTGGTAACACCTCACTTCGTCGAAAGGCTAATGAGATGACCACCTCACTTCGTCGAGAAGCTAATGAGATGACCTATATAGGCGAAAGAATTAGATACTCTTTGCATGTCGAGACATGGATAAATAACCAACTGAGCAAAAACAATGTTGTTTACTTATCCAAACTGAAGGTGTTATTGGTTCACCTGGTTCTACGACTTTGGTGCTTCTTAGTTATAAGATGTCGCCAGGTGCCAACACAATGCTGCTTACTTATCCAAGCCGAAGATATGTTGACAGGAGGGTTGTAATAGTTAATGTATTGCTCAGAGATGTGAGAAGGGTTTCACATAGAGTGAAGGTTTTCACGTAAAGCGTTTTTGAGTTATTTGTTAAGTTGAAGGGGCTTTCAATGTTGTAGAGCCTCTTCGGGCTTCCAAGACTACCAGTAATTCACTTTCAGATGGCAATCGAATTAATGGGTGATCTTCCTTTTTCATGGATGATTTAATTTGTTAGATGTATGATGGTTAAGTATCCATCAATTACGTAAGGTAACAACACTGCAAATTCATATATATCTGATGTTCTAATGAAGATTGCATTTGTACACGCATATATACATATTTGCTTCTTCAGCCAAACCACTACCCAAATTACTAAAACTCGAGTCCTACACGCACGCACACAACAGAATTAAAAAGCTCCTTATTGATCACTCAATACTTATTCCGCGTACCTCCAAGTTGTCCAGAACCTTTGGCTTCTTATAATTCTTCAACAGCAGAGAGCAGCAAACAACACTGACAGAAGAAGCTGCCATTGCAGCTCCAGCAATCCATGGTGGTAAACGAAATCCAGTAGGTGGGAATAGGGCTCCTGCAGCTATTGGAATGCCAAGAACGTTATATCCCAAAGCCCAGATGTAGTTCAAACGGATACGGGTGAAGGTTTTCCTAGAAAGGTGAATCGCAGTTATCACATCTTCCAAGTTGCTCTTCACTAGAACAATGTCAGCTGCCTCAATGGCAATGTCTGTTCCTGCACCAATTGCCATTCCTACATCTGCTGCCACAAGTGCCGGTGAGTCATTGATTCCGTCTCCCACCATTGCCACAGTGTAGCCTGAAGCCTGTGAATAATGAAATTAAGTAATGTGTATGCGGTGCGCATGAAGTGAAGAACTTACTCTTGTAGTTTGTAACATATTAACGAAATTATATCATATGTACCTGCAAATCCTTCACTTTCTCTGCTTTCTGATCGGGTTTGGCTTCTGCTATAATGGTCTCAATTCCAACTTCCTTAGCGATAGAATTTGCAGTTCCCCAGTTGTCACCTGTCACCATTATACTTGTAACTTTCATAGACTTGAGTATGGAAATTACTTCTCGAGCACTTGGTTTCAGTGGATCAGATATGGACAGAACTCCAGCCACTTCTCCATCTATAGCTATTAAAATTACAGTTTGAGCGAGTCCTTCCGCTTTTGCAAGTATCTCTTCTGCATCAATTGGAACCGCAATGCTGTGCTCCACTATCAAGCTCTTGTTGCCAACAATTATTTCCTTGTTCCTAACAATGGCCTTCACCCCATGCCCAGTAATGGATTCAAAGTGTTTTGCTTCTGGCCAAGCAGGATTCTCTTCGTCTTCTCTGAACTTTTTGGCATACTCAACAATGGCCTTAGCCAACGGGTGTTCGCTATTCACCTGATATGTATAAATCATATACATAATCATAATGTTTTAAATCAATGGGGCTAATAATGAAAATACTGAGGATATGTGTTTCAAATCTTTAAACCTACCTCAGCTGCAGCAACAAGTTCATAGAATTCTTGAAGCACCATATTTTTCAAAAGTCGCGTGTTGACAACCACTGGCTTTCCAATTGTTAGAGTCCCCGTCTTGTCGAACACAATGCAGTTCACCTAAAACATCATTAATCAGATATATAAGAAGAAATATGAAAATTCTGATGGACACCTCAGGGTAAGACTAAGGAAGAATATAGTTAGACTACATCAACTGACTAAAGGAAAATCAAATTATATTTTGGTCCATAACTTTGTGAACAAAATAAGAACATACCTAAATTTTTTAAAATTTAAAATGAAACTACACTATTCGTAGACTTCGCTTAACGGGTGAAATTGCATAATTTATTGTTTTTATACTGTCCCAAGGCAGAAAAATAAGAACATATCAATCTACAAGAAGGATGCTGCTTTCTAACCTTATGTGCACTTTCTAATGCTTGGCCTCCTTTGATCAATACACCTTGAAATGCGCCTACTCCAGTTCCAACCATGACAGCTGTGGGAGTTGCTAGGCCTAAAGCACAAGGGCATGCTATAACCATGACAGAAATTCCAAACTGAAGAGAAAGCTCAAAGCTATCCATGGAAGATGGTATCCAAGATTCAGGGTAGCTGTGGTATTTTCCAGCCAAAAACCAGGAAAGCCAGGTCAAGAATGAAAGTAGGATCACCTGCAAATTAGAGCCACGTCTTAAGAAAAAGCCTCTGGTATCCTTTCAATTAAACCAAAAGAAATCCATACAGAACTTAAGTGATTAATCATGTTATAATTATAACCAGTGGCACAAAGTATTTGGAAATGCGGTCAGCAAACTTCTGTACAGGAGCTTTGGCCATCTGAGCTGACTCAACCAGCCGTACAATCTGGGAAAGGGAACTTTCTGAACCAACTCTAGTTGCCTTGATATGTAGGACACCATTCTCATTCAAAGTACCTCCAATGACCGAGTCACCCTTTCTTTTTGCGACTGGTCGTGCTTCTCCTGTTATCATACTCTCATTAACATGGCTTTGCCCCCATGTAACATAACCATCTGAAGCTACTTTCGCCCCTGGAATAATTTTAAGTATGTCATTCTTTTGTATCAACCTACTATCAATTTCCTGTTCATTTATCACATTTCCTACTTCATCTAGTGCCAACAATGCCGCTGTTTCAGGTGCCAAGTCCATCAATTTGGCAATGGCATCAGATGTCTTCCCCTTAGTTAATACCTCTAGGTACTTTCCAAGGAGAATGAATGAAATAAGCATGGCACTAGTCTCGAAGAAATCAGTCCCCATAAAATCTGGAGAGGTAGCAGCTCTCACTACCGAGTAGACCGAATAAAAATAGGCTGCATTTGTTCCTAATGCGATTAGCACATCCATATTGGCGGAACCATGGCGCAGTGATTTGTATGCCCCAGTATAGAACCTCTGGCCTATAATGAATTGCACCGGGGTGGCCAGAATCCATCTCATGAGCTCCCCAATCATGAGATTATTCACAATTTTAGTTTCTAGGCCATGCTTAATTCCAGGAATATACATGAAGACCATGGAGGTTAAAAACACCGGAATAGTGAAAACCAAACTCCACAGAAAGACTCTAAAATACTGCTTAATTTCCTCCTTTCTATGACTATCTCTTCCTGCTTCACCTCCTGGAAAAATCCTTGCCTTGAAACGCCTGGACCCGGTTGTTTCAATCACATTAATGAAACTTCTTGGCCCTGTAATATCTGATTTGTAATAAAGAGAGATTTTCTTGATTTCAGAATCGAAGTCTACAGCTTGCACACCAGGGAGTGCTTGAAGAGACTGTTCAAGTATCCTCATTGAACGATCGGTCCTTACACCATCAACTTCAAGCTCTATCCGGCTCATGTGTTCCCCTGCAGTAATGAGTTTGCCTTCGAATCCAGTGTCTTCAATGGTTTGCAACAGCTGGTTGTAGCTCACAATCTTTGGATCATAGTGAACATCTGCTTCTTCAGTTGCTAAGGCAACTTGGGCTTTTTGTACACCATCAACTGCCTGTAAAGCTGATTCAACAGTGGTCGAGCAAGAAGTGCAAGTCATTCCCTTTATCAGAATTCTGCATATCAATGTGGACTTCTCATTTCCCTCCTCATCATTAATCAAAGTGGCTTGGAATCCAACATCTTCAATCGTCTCGCGAATAGTCTCCGCCTATGATAAGAGATAAGACAACAGCTATAAAAAAAGTCCAACTGCCAATACAGAAAAATTCATTTTTTTTCAAAAAATTAAAAGACAAAAATCGAACTTCCCAACTCCCCCTGCGAGCTTCTTCAGAAAAATTCATTTTCTTCAAATCATGGCATCTTCCTCAAACTGTTCATCGTTTGTTTATTTCAACTGGGTACTCTCGTTGTTAATAGAAGACATATACATAGGCTAACATACCAGAACAGTTTCTGAATTAAGGTGCAAATCTGCTATATATAGGATTAAATTAGGAAAATAATTTTTACACTTTCATTTTCTCTCCTCACACACCAATCTTTATTTTCTTGCCGTTGGATTAAATAAAGTAAACAAAAACCAATTGACAAAAGTTAGTGGTCTACTCAAACAAATGTTGAGCTCGTTGGTGAAAGTGTTAGGCGTCATATAGTATTAGTTTCGTTTTTACATACATATTCTAGAGGCTAAAGCTTGCTTATATTTTAATAGACAGTAGTTTGGGTTGTACTTGGTGCGGAAGAGAAGTCTTTTTTTTTTCTTATTAAAGAAAAATAGGTTTGTGAATCTCTACAAACTATGTAGCTAAGTCGAAGATTAGAACTATGATTAAGACTCTTTGTCAGTTAATTAAGGCCGTGACTTAAGAGGTTTATGAGTAAAATAAGATGCTCTACTTATATATATATATATATATATATTGTCTTGATACTTGATTCATGACCAAATTACAAGGCACCTGGCTTTATATTAAGGTAATGCTAAGAAGACCAAATTTTTTTAAACCAAATTCACAAATCAAATGATGTGATTATAGATGTTTGGATGATTAATTAAGTGTCGATTAACGTGATTGTTTCTTATTGGTGACTCATAATTTGATTTGCAATTTGGTTTAAAAAATTTGATCTCCCTATCATTATCCTTTATATTAAGCTCAATACCTACAACCTAGAAAAATATATAAACAGAATATGAACTTATAACATCTCTTTTGTTGACATTGGATTAGGTCTCCAAGTACATCTTTTTTCCGTGGAAAGAAAATTTTGTTAGAGAAATGATTTCCACAAACTCGTTTTTTCATTCAACAACTTATTGTTCATTTTTTATTTTTAATTCTTCTTTGGTTCACTCAATTCAAAAGCTAAAAATAATAGTTTAGTGTGCAAACTCAATCCAAATGCCACAACTAAGTTTTCTTTTGGTATAGAATTGATTATGTCTGGAATCGAAGCTTAGAAAATCCCAATTTTCATTAACTTATTTGTAAAATTAATAGGACAATTTCTTGGTGTGCAAAAGTGCAGAAGCAATTCCAAGACACATCACATATAAACATGAAGATAATTATTTAGATCCCGGCCACAATCAACACAAAACAAAATTAAAATTTTACATTCAATGTGACACCATCAGTAATCAAAAGAAAAAACAAATGAAAGATCCTCGTGATAGGTAAAGCGACTTACGTTAACGTAATTGGGAAAGAACATAACTTGCGCCCGGTTGTTCAAGACGTCGACAATAGCCTCGCGAATCCCCGGGAGCCTCTTGACGGCCTTCTCGACTGACCCGGCGCAGGCGGAGCACGTCATGCCCGTGACAGAGAACAAAGCCTTATCCTCAGCTCCGGCTGCCAGGCTGGTCTCTTCAGCCGCCACACCTTTGGGGTACTTTGGCATGGAGGGGTAGTGGGGCCGGGGTGAGAGGTCACCCCAGCTCTCGTTGCGTATGCATAGGGCCAAGAACTTGGTCGCCATGAACGTGAGGTTGGTTGGTGGCTATGATCGGAGCCTTCTTTTTGGTCTCTGCAAGCATAAATGATAAAGTTTAAAAATTGGAGGGTAATGTGTTGGCGAAGTAAGAATTTGATTCGAATGCAATGAGTATTTAACGGTGGGGGGATAGATGGTGGAGGGTGGTGGGTCCCGTCATAACCTAAGTCCAACGCTATTGGGTGTGATGAAGTTAGTGGCAATTGTATATGCAGAAAAACCCTAAAAATCTCTTCTTCTTTTTTTATAATTGAAAAAAATAATTAAGAAGAAAGTCAAAGTAGGTTTCTGCGTTTGCCAAAAAAAAAAAAAAAAAAAGTCGGTTTCTGCCCCCAAATTGATGAGCCGGATGAAAAGGATTATTTAAAAAAAAAAAAAAAGAAAGATAAATTATGTTTTTTTTTTTTTTTAAATTAGAACATAGTGGATCAAATAGAATGTCTTATTAAATAGAGCAATCTACCACTCGTCTCTTTAGTGCTAAACCTTTGTTTTTGAATAAAGGTAAAGATATTGGTAAAGGTTTTTGATAATTAGAGTAGGGAGTGATTTTCTGCACACTTATTTTTACTTTTTGTATACCTATTTTAATTTCGGTTTTTGATTATTTTTTTTTTGTTTTGTTCAACTTAGCATTCAAAAAAAGCATAGTTCAGAGCTCAGCTCCAACTAATTCTTCATAAGTGAGGTGAGATATTTGCCTTTCTTTTTTATTTTTATTTTTTTGTACAAGATCCGCTTTTTTGTTAGCATGACCAGGAAATTGAAGTTGATTTACTTGGTCGGCCAATAATCGGAACCGCCCACCACAAGCACCCGCGGCTCAGGGAATGTGCATGAGGTGAAAAATGATGCGTACAATTCAGCTTCCTTGATTTATAGCAGAAAGTGAATTTCAGTTTTCTTAGAAACGAATATGAATATCAGACCAAAAAAAAGAAATGAAAATGAATAGAACAGCATATGCTATGATGCTGGGCAGGAAAATGAATAGAGTTCCACGTTAGTTAGGAGATTAAGAAATCCACATGTTATATAGGACGATGAAAAGAAAATCTAGCAATCAAATAGATACTGTGATGGGTGCATATTTTCATATATTTTTATCATATATTTCCTTTGGATTTTGTATAAATGAATGGGTTAAATGCACTAATTTATATATTGCTTTATTTTTTAGCATTTAATATGGGAGTTAAGTGATAAAAGAAGTGGAAAATGGAGTTTCGAGTGTTTACAGTAATTTCAGTGGAGCACGAGGCTAACTAGATGTGCAAAGACATGTGCATTACAACAAGAAGATGAAATCGAGCGGTTTTGGAATCAAATAGACATGGGAATGCTATTCAATGAACTTTAGAAGAGAACTTAATTTCTAGTTTTTATTATTTCCGTTTATTTTTCATTTTTTTAATAAAGTTTTAAAGTCCATTATGTTTAGGAGTTTGGTGGGGTTTTAATTCGATTTCAAGTAGCCTTTAATACCTTCTTACCGTGGGTTTTATATTAAGCAAATCCATTCTCCTTGTGGAGAGTCAGCCAACAACTAGAGAGAAAAAATAAAATAAAATATAAAAAAAGCACAATTCTACACAGGGGGCTGCTGCAAGGAAGGGAAAAGAGGAAGTACATTGGAGTTTTTCTTTGCTAGGGCTACGATGTAGCCTGATCATGAATACTTAATTGTCTTCTGACATTGTTATTATCAAGTTTTTCATCTTTATTGAGTATCTTTTTTAATTGTAATGCGCTTGATTTTTTTTTAGATGCTTGATCACCATCTAGGTTTAAATTAGGTTGATTTCATGCAAGTTAGAGTAGATGTCATACTTAACTTGGGTTTAACTTCTTGCAACTGATACCATAAACACCTATTTGTAGATGTCATACAATTAGGGTTTTTTTGATTTTCCAACGATTTATGTAGAGCTTAATGGGTTCTTACTTGTTTAAATTCATCTAGATGCCATAGATGGTTAACAAGTAAGGATACTTTTGATGGCCGTTGAATAATTTAGGGAAAATTGATTGTCAATATTGAGGAACTACTTGAGCATAACATATTAAAGGAATTGAGTAGAATTGGTTATGGTGAATTCGGGTGCCCTAAGTTTTCTTTTCTTATATTTTAATCTTATTATTTTACGCATTTTATTTTTAAGTTGTATTTCATTTCAATTTAATCGAATCATATCTTTCTTTTTTTTTTGTTAAAGCTTCTCAACTATAATTTGTTTCAATTTAATTAGTAAGACTTTTAGAATCAATTTGATCTCTGTGGGACGATATCCATGCTTATATGCTATACAATCATCCGATTTGTATACTTACGAGCACTAAAATTCAAGACTTAATGAGTTTAATTTTGGTTATCTAATTTTCGCAACAATTTTCTATACTTAATGAGTTTAATTTTGTTTATCAAATTTTCGCAACATACTGCTTGCATAACTAAAACAAGAGTATAAGCCATTCGATTAAATGGAACATGCAGGAAAATAGTAATAATTGAAATACTTGAAAGAAAATATTATTAGAAAAGCTGGCTTTTGAATATATGATCACTACAAGAAAATAACTCATTTACCACATTAATTTTACCACGGACATTATGTGCCCGTTATAAAAAGTGACCATTTACCACGGACTTAGTCAGCATGTTGTAGATAAGTGTTTTACAACAGGCAAGTAATGGCCCGTCATAATAAAATAATTTACTACCACGGTCTTAATTAGCACGTTATGAAAATATTAAACCACCACAGATATTAACCGTGGTCAATATTATTAGTAATTACACCGCATTGGTTTATCTACCACGGACATTAAATGTGATGCAATTATGCACACTATTTAAAAAAAAATCAGAAGGCGGGATTAAAATTTTTTCGAAATTTTCCCAAAATTTGAAATCTTTCAAATTTCACACTCCTAGAAAATAGACGAGAGGAGTTGGTAAAAAATTTAAAATTAAGCGGTTTCGTCCACTCCTCTCCCTCTCCCTCGCTGCAAATAGATAGACCTTCTAATGAAAATCGAAACCGTTGTCAAGATCATGGTCTAAAATATCCATAATATCCTGATATTTCCATCGAAATTTCCGTGTTTTTAGACTACCGATATTTCCGATATTATCAATATTTTAGACATTGCTAAGTCACTCATGTATCTTACCATGCAATGTATAAGGTGTAAAATATTGTACTAATTCATTATATATAAATGATTATGGTGTGTTTAAACTTCTTTCATTAATTACTACATATTTTTTACACTCACAATGTTTGCCAGCTCGCTATATAATCAACTTAAATCAGTTATATCTATCATGCAATGCATTTCCTTCCAATATTTTGCGATAAACTAATAGATAATTGACTAAATAAACATCCTGCAAAGTTTCAATAAAAATTTCCAAGTTTTTCTTACAATTTTCGTGGTTTTTATTCAATTTTTATTGATATCGATAATATCCCGATATTTCCATCGAAATTTCCGTGTTTTTGGACTACCGATATTTCCAATATCATCGATATTTTATACCTTGGTCAAGATGAAAGCCCTCAGGTTTTTTTTTCGTTCCCTTCTAATTGTCATCTTTAATTCATGTTTCTGATGCATATATCCATCAATTTTTCCTGTAATTCTCTTTCGGAACCACCAACAGAGGAAACACTCTTACTTTCATCTCTCTCTCTGATCTTTAGGTATTATCGCAATTTCTCTCTCAATTGGTGCTATAGTATTTCTTAAAATTATTAGATTTAGGGTTGGGCAAACTAATTTTAAGGATTTTGATTGTACTTTGCGTTCTGATTTTGTTTGAGATAGTCCCATGTTTGGTTTAGATGTAAGGCCTGAAGCTTTTTGAGGACTTGAAAAGCCTTTTGAGGTAAGATGGTTTGATTGTTGTACTGATTGTTTTGAGGTAAGGATCACACGTAAACTGTAAGAACTTCTGCTCGAAAAGCTTGCCATTACTCACCATGAAAATATTCAGGAAAACGAAACTGCTTTTCATGCTTGGGTTCTCAACTTTTTGTTATTGTTTAGAGAAAATGCATTAGGCATGCATAAATCTAGTGGATGCTCTGCTAAGGATTGAATTATTGATACCTCTAGCTCTAATGCTTGAATATCTTTGTAAAGTTTGAAGGTTTATATGGTTGGGTTGATAATTATGTTTGTTGAAATATCTGCATCATGTGCATCCTTGTTAGAGAAGGACCGGTTCTTATATCAATTACAGGACATTCGAGATTCTGAAGATTTTAGTGTGATAAGTTTGGTTGGTTTTTTGTATATGATGTCTTCGAGTGATGAGTTTTGATTTCTAAGCTTGGTGCGATAAGTCTGGGTGGTACACTTACGAAAGTGGGTTTCCACTGAAGATGGATCTTGAAAGGCAAATCCTTTCTCGCTATGTGATTCTTTTTTTTGTCGAATTTTGACTTGTGTTTGTGAATTGTTGTAATGGGTTCCTCTTATTTTTTTATGATTGAGTATGAAAGTTTTGCATTAGAGTTGTGTTGGTAGTTCTGTCTGTGCAGCTCTTAATCTCTTTATACAGTTGTCCTCTTAGGTTGTGCCCATTTTGTATCGTTATTTCTCACTCATTACGAAAAATTGATTCAATCAGGAATATGTTGATGGAAATTTGTGTTTTTATGTTCTTTTGTATGCTTATGTCCATCCAGATAGAGAGAGGTAACAATTGTTGAGGCTCAAGTATTAGGGGAAGTAGTTCACTCTCAAGGTCCTTTGTTTGGAGGTGTTCAAAGAAATGTGAAGTCTTCAAGTGACAATGTCCTTGTTTGTTGAAGGTCTTTGGATAGTTTGGTATTTCTTTGTATATCTCATCATTTTGTTGTTAGCTTTAGTTTAGTGTACAACTGTACTGTTTGAATCTATGATTTTTTATTTAATTGTTATATTATAGTAAATGTATAATTTTGTTTATAAATATTATATAATACATTTATTAAACAATATTTTATTATTTGTTTTTGTTTTTAGAATTTTTTTTATAACGGTCATTAGCCATGGCCAATTTGTAATCCACAACGGTTATAATGCACGTGGTTTTAGATCTTAATCTACAACGGG